TGCTCTGTTCTTCCAAAGCTCAGCGTCTCTATGTCAAATGTTGCTAACTTAGCTGCTCTTGGGATATCAAACACAACCCTACAACGATCTCCACTGAATGGTCTCTACTTATGTCTTAAATTCGCTCTCACTTGTGATTTAACATTACTGAAGCAAAGCCTCCTTTGTGAATTTTTCTTCAGTGTGGCCAGTTTTAATCTTTAAATTTTGATAGTGGCTTCTCTAGAATGTTTAGATTGTGCAGTTTTACCAGGTTACATGTATGCACCTGAAATCCTGCATCTTAGATACATTAGATCTTTCTTACTCTTTCAACTATAAATTCTTGAGGAGCTGAGCTTTCTCCTCTTGATGTGAAGACCAATATTGCAGCCTACTGGTATAGGCATATCTTTATGTCTTGCTTTCTATTCCCTTATGTTGGCCTTGTGTCCTCTCAACTCAGAGTTTCCACCAGACTTCCAGATGCTATGGAACTTCTCGGACACAGTATTACTCCACTGGGTCTCAACTGCCTGGGGAGTTTCTAGCAGGGTATAAAGCAACAACATATAAAGCAACTACTTTTCTGTAATTTTTAATTTATTCTTTCTTACTGCAGGGGCAAACCCTGTTTGTTTCGGGGTTTCCCTACCCCCCAAAAAAATCCTACCTTACACTTAATCAAAGACATGCACAAGATCTTTTCGTTTAACATCCTTATCTAGCACTATGATGATTTTACTTTGAATTCTTATTTTCTCTCACGGGGTTAATTTGTATCCTATACTATACTGAAAATGGAGATATCTGTCGTATGCATCTTCAAAAGATGTCCCTGTTCAAGTTTATGTATTTCTCAGCTCCTGACAGTTTTTTTCCCAGACCTCAGTTAAAAAAAAAAAATTATTCACTTTGCGTGCTAACATTCCCACTTCACTTTTGGAGATGGGACACCAGTCCCTGTGTGTAGACACTCTACTTTTGACAAAAGAACCCACAGTGACTAACGAACTTATATATGCCTTACAGACATGCTGAAATCCCAAATTATCTTCTTTCCAGGTTGGACCTCCAAACTGGAAGACTATTTCTGAGAGAACCACTGTTAAGCTGCTGGACCTAAACTTTTTATTTGAAAGCTCCCAGGATCTTTTATGTCTGTCTCCCTGAGTTCTTAGTCAAAGGAAACAAATCCTCAGTTTCCAGGTTGCTACTGTTTCTATGAGTGCAACGGACAGCTTTTATTTTTTTTTTTTTTTTTTTTTTTTGTAAATTCATTACAGACATTAATTCCAAAACTTCAGGGAGTGTTCCAGCTCTGCCAGATGGAGCACTATTGATTCTTCAGAGTAAAATATGAAAGGAGAGACAAGTGAAAAACATTTAATCGCAGAACAAAACGCTGTTGACTTGCAGAAGTTCCAGTAAACTCTGAACAGATTTTCTCATAGGATCTCCTTGTCACTGAGTAACAGGAACAAAACAGATTTGACAGCAAAGTGATGCCTATCATCTCCATTAAACACATGTGTGTTCCAACTCCAGGACCCCAAATACCTTTTCCTACTCCCTCCGATCCAGTTGCTTTAGATGAAGGATCTCAGGCATTCCTTCCCACTGGCTGCACAGCCAAAAAAAAGCTCAACACTTTGTTCTGATGGTCCAAGTACAAACTCAGCAAGAGACACTAATCAGAGTGCACAACCCTAACTGGTACCAACACGTAACACCATTTACAAGTCATCCACCAAAATGGTGAATGTGCTCAATTAAGAAGATAAGATCTGTACAGTTGTGCTCTCTCTCTCATACACGTATCTCATTCTATCAGTGGCAGTAGACTTAGCTATTTCATTGCTCATTTACCAAATTTTTGCTGCAGTTCAGATTACACAGTGCCAAACAAAGCACAGATAAGAGAAAATATGATCCACAGTTCTCTTGATATCATTTCAGTCACCTGGACAGAACATAATGCTTCATCAATGCAAAAAACAATCCTCTCAATGAATCAAAACCCACACTCAGGACTGGCTTCCAGGAAGGAAGAACAAGCCATTTTGAAGACTACACTGAAACCTCACAGTATTTGGAAATGGGAGCAATGTAAGGTTTTTTGCGTTGTTTCTAACTGTCTTAGTACAATAACAGCATAGAATAAAAATAACCAAAACACCCAGACATAAATTCTATGGCAACAGACCCTGAAAATGCAAATATATTTTATGTACTACTTTAAATTCATCCTCAAGTGATGACCAAAGCATAATACTAATTAATTAAGAATTATATTTATGGAACACTTGTAAGTCTATTAGTCACTTGAATGACCCTGATAGCCCATAGCTTTTTAAATATGGCTTTACTAACACAGAAAGGCACAGTCTATGAAATATGCATCATAGGGGATTAAGTACACTGTGTAGACTTGCTGAAGTCCTCACAGTTCAAGTGAGATAGGCCAGTTTCTCAGCTGTTCCTAACCATATTACCAGCTGCACAAACCATTTGTGGCCACTTCACATCCATGGACCACTAAACCCTTGTAGCCATTGCTTTTCTTCCTCCTCCTCTGAAAAGAAACAGAACTGAAATTCCCTGGGTGCTAACACTGAGTGTATTAGAAACAGAGACATGCAACAAAGATGAAGGGAAACTATTCATTGAAAGGCCAGAAGAAAAAAAAAAAAAATCATTATTTTAAACAGTTACTACGTACAAAATGTTGTTTATCAAGAGGTAAAGAGATTAGACAGATTCCCACTTTGTCCTGAACCCTGTAACATGATGAGCATCACCTGTAGGCATTGTTAAAAGGCACTACCCATAAGATAGGCTAGATATTCTGAAACGAAGAACATTCTGTGCCTTGCAGTCACTAGTTCCAGGCAGAATGCACCATACTAGGAAATTCAGAAACACACATAAGCCCTGAATGTATTTTACCTCTATAAAAAGCCCAGTTCTTTCAAATTAAGCGGCTTTTCAGAATTAAAGCCGTTATAAATCCCATATGGAAGACCATTTTTATTAGAAGATCTTAAGAGCAAGATCCTATTTTGGCAGCAGCAGTGAAGACAAAGGGCACAGGCAAGCCTCGGAAAAACTGCCTCAGCTAAGACTGCCCAGTGCTTCCTACTGTAACACCATCTCTGCAGATCTTACAACTTTACCAAGCTGTAATTGTTCAGACTAAAATTTTCCACACTGGACTTTTGCCAATTTTGAGACACATTTTTCAGAGGTTTTTTAGCCTCTTCCAAAAAAGAGGCTAGGGAAAAATACACTGCTCTTTACAGATTAATGAATTCCACTGACCTTCCCAACAGCTTGAGAGCACTAACACTTCAGAACAGGCGGGTCACTGAGTACACCTTTTTGCCAACCCTGGGAAAACCCTCCTGAACTTGGCCAAGTACAAGTGTTTGTACATACTGCTAATTTATGTATGCAGAAGAGATTTAGGTTTTAGCAACTCATTGATCAATCTATCCAAACACTATGCAGGAGACAGGGAAGCCATGCATGGGGGGCATAAGTGACTAGAGGCAAAGAAAGATGCACAAATGAAGAGCCAACATGAAAGCAGAATCGGTATGTGCCACCTGGGCACAGAAACTGGGATAGAGGGTAGTAAAGGCTGGCTGGTAAAGTGAAGGAGTGGAGAAGCAACAGCAGGAGTTTCATCTAGGAGAAAATGCAGGTGAGGCAACAAGCCAAGCCTACACATTCCCCTCAAGAACTGGAATGAAACCCCAAATTGCTGTCTAGCAGACAAATGGTGAGACTCAGTATCTGCAGCACCGTAAGTAATACATCCTATGTCCCTGTGGACCACAGAGAAGATAACTACATACTACACTGCTAAAATAATACTCTTAATTCAAACTACAGAGGTCTGTTGGATTGGAAGTTATCCATCCTGATAAAGAACAACATCTGTTTTTTTCCAACATATTTTGCAAAAAACCTTAAGAATTTACAAGTAATAAAACAAAGTTAAAGAAAAATCAAAGACTGCAAACCCAAGTGCTGAAAGTCTTTACAAGTTTAATTAGGCTTTTCTGTGCATGCATTTTATGAGGAGTTTTTGAAGATACAATCACATACTACAACTTTCATTAAATCCTTATTTTTTTCCCAGCAAACAGTGCTCTGAAAATAAATTAGTGCAGCACATGAAAAGGAAATGCATTCTGCAGACCTTTGTTGCAGAATTTAGAAGCTGTGCAATGGTGGAGGCAGGAGTTGAAGAACAAGAAAGATGATCCTACAGATGATGCGGCTAAATGCTGCACTTGAAAACTGATTTTATCCCTGCTACTGATAAAATCCTTCAGGGATACCAGGAAATCTGGGTAACTGTCTTAAGACTACAGGATACTGCCAACCTGCAGAAATACTCTGCAGAAGAACTAGGGATGTGTTTGGAATATGAAGGGCGATTAGAGATGCTAATGTGAGAAAAGGCATCGACTAGGTTAGTGCCTCCAACTGAATGCCAAAAACGGGTGGTTACACTTGTCTTCTTTCTATGACTTTCTATGGCTCATCCAAGTAGAAAATACCATTATCTTCTCAGTCTGTTGTGAAATTAAATTATTTTTAAAAGAACTAAATGGAAAAATGTCATTCTTTGAATGTAACTGTCCACATCTTAAAATTAACTTCATACAGTTTGTGGTTGTTCTCTTTTAATGTCTTTGCCTATACCTATGGAGTTCCAGCAGAGCAAGCAACTGACAGAGCTGGCATAAAGTAGAGGCAGCTGGGGGAACACCAGGCTCCTAGTAGTTCAGATTACAGTAGTCATTCTTGTACCTCTTCTAAACAAATATTTTTATCCCTTGAAGTTGCATCGTGACCTAAATGCGTCTCATAGTCTTCTGCCACCTCTCTACTGTCTTACTCCTTTACAGTCAGAGGTAAAACACCCTCACCCCCAACTCAGAGAAGAACAAGACTGTAATGTTTAGGAGACAAAACCCACATAGGACTAATCTTCAGCTCATCCTTACCTCATTTGGTGGAACAATAGCAAAAGGTTGGATGACAGCTGCCAGTGGAATGCGAGCCTGCTTGGCCATATCTGAAGACAGTGGGAAGCAGTAGGTAGTACATCGGATATAACGAGGGCTGGCGTGGCCTAGAACACCCAACATAGCATGCACAATGAAAGGCTGTTAAAAGGAACCCACCTGTCCCAAACACAAGCCAGAAAAATCAAACCAACAACATAAAGCAACAAGTGCATACACTAAGTTAAATACATGCTTTTTTTCCTCCCATGAGAGCTTCTGCCCACCTCTCCTCTTTATATGTCAGCCCATTGCCCCTCCCTGTAGGTAAATCTTTTCTTGCTGTTTGAGTTTAAAGCAGAGATTTAAACATATCAGGAAAACCCTCACAATTATTTGCAATAAGAATGTCAATAGAGATTGGGTTGAAACATACCATATCTAAGATCTTAAAATAATATGGATGAAATCCCCAGTGGAAATGTCAATACTATATGTAAAAAAATGCTGCCAACTGTTAAGACTGCTCTAATGAGCTAGTTCTGATTCAGAAAATAGCGTACCTGTGTTAACATCACCATGCTCATTTATGTGGCAAAATAGAGTGTGCTAAAATCACCACACCACTTCTTTTAGCACGCTTAGCTCAGTTCCCTGAATGAGAAACTGTGCTGTGCACTGCGGACAAAAGCACTGAAAGGCACCAAGAGTTCAGAAATCTGCTTCCTTATGCTCCTTTTTTAACCATCGAGCTGCAGCTCTGCTCCGTTTCTTGAAAGTAATTTCTTTGTTCATCAGAACAGCATTACCCCATTCTCAGATAATGCCAAAAAATCTTGAAGTGTTTAAGTTTTATACAGCTTATCCAAGCAGTGATAAATTAATGCTGGACTAAACGATACCATCAGTTTAATCTGTATTAAAATATCAAGTCTGCTGTCAAGAGCAGCACATGGAATATCGTACTTCCAGGCTCTAGGCAGAAGCAAAGGCAGACACATTGGCCAAAGAAAAAAAATAAGTCAATTAGACAGCTTGTATGCTGCCACTATCGCTTGAATAGAATTTTCCAAAATTTTTATCTTAAAACATAACAGTGCTAGTCTCATTGCTTCTTCTAGTGTCCATCTTTTAAAATTTCAGAAGAATCCAAAAAAGGATTTTCAACTTGAAATTTAAAACCTTGAAAAATTTTAAGTTAAAAAGAAGAGTTGTCTCAACTATTCATATTATTTTAAAAGCCAGGAAGGGTAGACGTGTTAACCCAAGGTGTAATAATTCAACTCCTACTCCCCACACACACTTATTTTTTTCTTCTTTACAGGGAGTTTCCCATTTCATGTCCAATTTAGAGTAAGGAACATCATTTTCAGATGAGAAATTTGAGAATTTAGGCTTTTTTTTTTAAATTATATTTGATCTCACCTAGAAAGACTCCAAATCAGTAACAAGGACAGTTACCTTGGTCTTGGATTATGCAGTCTGTGGTGACAAGAGGAGGAACCTGTCCTCTTGTGTTTGTAGCATAGATCTGCCCTCCCCGAGAAGCCTTATCATTTTCAATTACTTGAATCTGATGAATAAGAAGCAAGAACAGCATGAGACAGGTAAGACATGCATTCAGTTACATTCATCAACAGTTATGCTAACATCTACACCAAGTAACACTATTGACACTGTCTTACACAGAGGTGCTACAAACCGATCACAATACAGGCTTCTGGGCCACTAACAACTAGAAAACCACACACTACTCAGCTGGGTGTAACTCATTCACAACTGCAGCTGCCTATTGGAACTCAGGGCTAACACTACACATTGGGGTGGATAAGACCTATATACAGTGAGCAAATGAGTTGTTTAAAGTAAGTATATTGACTGCTAGGAGGACAGACCTTTCCAAGAGAGGATAGCTAGCAAATTGAGGAGAGCAATGGTTTAAATAAGACCCTGTTACTGAATCTGGTCTTCCATTCTCCCGGATTAAACTGAAGGGCAAGACTGCGTCACCTTACTCAGATTCTGTATGTACCAGGTTATCTTTTGTATGACCATAGCTGTGCTGCTTCATAAATTAACATACAGGTAATTGATCAGATTGCAACAGTGGGAGGGGTTAGCCCTCATTCCTCCTGACTAGGCTCCATCCACAGGGTGGTTAAGAAATAATCTACATGGTAGATCACCTTCCTAGCTGAGCTATATTTCAGCACTGCCATTTAGAAAGCAGCAATTTAAACTCCTGAGAAAAGCCTTGCTGGCCATTAGGCAGTATTTCAACCCTGGAGCTCAGGGGTTTCATTCTCTAGGTCAGACTGCCCTGTTGTGAGCTTTCTCCTAGAAAGAAACTAAAGGAGAGCAATCACAGAAAACTTTTATTAAAATGAGGCAGCTCTGATCAGGTACAGATTTACTCTGGTTGAAGCCTATTTTATAGCAATTTACAATGCAATGTCATGGAACACTCATGAAGCTGGCCGAACACATTTCTTTCAGATACACTTCCTCCCTTGTCACTTCTGCACAACCCCTCACCCTTGTTTAAGTTTGATACTTTCCAGGATATATCTGAAGTTATATAAAGCTCTATTTTGTTCCACACCATAAGCCAGATCACTGAGATGATACCATTATTCCTCCTCTTCCCTCAAAGGAAGCTATCTTTTCAGCAATCTGGTTTAGAGTGTAGCCAAACAGCCGTGACAAACAAGAGGAACGAGACAGGGAATTTCTGAAACTGGCATTGCCACTGCTGCTGGCATTCCATGGAGTTGTATCTTTGCACTGCACATTAATTTCTAATAATAGCTAGGGAAGTTCAGAAGCCTCTGTTGGAAAGCAAGCAGAGGAAAAAACCCAAATTAGTTGCATAGAGTCTATTGATCATTATCCAAGAGGTATTTCCTAACACACTGGAAATAATTTGGGGCCTGTAACTTTTTTTTTTTCCAATAAAGTTTTTGTATTGCAATTTAAATATACAATACATTCCTCAGAGAGCTTGTTATATCTTCTGCTTGATTATTTTCCCCTGCCTCCTTGGCTTGTATACTTATTGCTAACTCTTGCATTAGAAGGAAAAAGGTTTTGCTCTAGAAAGATCCACCGGCTGAAGAAAGCAAACCACTTTCATACTTAGCTCTGCAAAGGATCAATGTACCATGGTATTCTGCAGTTAACTGACCTAAGGATATCATTGTTCTTGGAAATAACTGTTGACAAAGCCCAGATGCTAGTTTCCATAGATGTTGTCAGAGCACGTATCAACCTCTAACAGATGTAAGAAAAATATAAATCAACAATGGCTACAGATAAGAAATAAATTTATCTGGCAACACTATTGTAATTATATAATGTAAATATAACAAGAGAAATACACATGATCATACTTATTCCTCATTCTGAATTAGCTTTTTGCCCTTTACAGACATTGACCGAGATCATGTTTCTTTTAAACACATCATTTTGATCCTCTCTGTGCTGCTTAAACAAACCGTTTAACCTATTTTAACATTGGTGTCATAGTCAAGGCTGTTTATTCTACATGCACAATTGAAACAAGACATCAGTCCATGCTTTCATGCCAGACCTCCTCCTTCTCCATTCTCCCTCCCTGCCTTTTTTTTTTTTTTTTAAATTAGACAAGACCATTTTATCCTTCTTATGTAAAAAGCACAATACTGAAACACGAGGAATGGTTGACCTATTAAAGGCATTTGTTAATCACACAAACACTTTAGAATTTTTACACAATGGTTTTGTTACATTTAACTTGAAAATTGCCTTTAACAGAGGCAATTGCAGTTGTTATATTAACCTCTAAGTGATTATCAACAAGTGTTTTTCCAAAATTCTGGGGATTTTACATCAAAACTATCATGGATAAAACAAATAATCTTTTCTAGAAGGACAAAAGAATATCCCCATTTAAGGAAGCATTGCTGCTACCTACTAGACAGCATCAGGCTTTTACACAAATACTTTTCCTTCATCTCAGTGGAACACAAATTCTTTCCGGTAGAGCAATACTGCCTCAGCAGAGAAGTGGAAGATTCCTTCACCCAGACTAGCTTACAGTGTGGTGGTTAACACATTTTTTTGAGTAGAAAGTTATAGGTCAAAGCTGCAGGACACACCCTGCTTCAATAATCCTGACTCTCCAAGGACCTTTTGACCTGCCTGGACAATTGCCAGAACCAGTATAAGTGTGTGCATCAGAATTTTTTTTCCCTGTGAGTTGGACAATTGCCAGAACCAGTATAAGTGTGTGCATCAGAATTTTTTTTCCCCTGTGAGTTCCACATGTTCTCCCTCTATTTCAATCAGCTGTTCTCAATAAAGAAGTTAAATGCAGCCTGCATCTAACTAGCTATTCCTTTGGCTAACAACTAGAATACTTTATTTAAGATGGACACAACCACAAGCCGAGTGCTTATGGGTGAGGATGAGGGGGGAGGCCAACAGAAAAGATATCCTGTTGGGAGTCTGTTACAGACCACCCGACCAGGATGAGGACATTGATGAAGTATTCGACAAGCGGCTGGCAGAAGTGTCTCAGTCGCGAGCTCTTGTTCTCATGGGGGACTTCAACTTCCCAGACATCTGCTGGAAATACAACACAGCAGAAAGGAAACAGTCCAGAAGGTTCCTGCAGTGGGTGGAAGATAACTTCCTGACACAGCTGGTAAGTGAGTCTACCAGGGCAGGTGCCCTGCTTGACCTCCTATTCACTAACAGAGAAGGACTGGTAGGAGAGGTGGTGGTCAGAGGTCGTCTTGGCCTTAGTGATCATGAAATGGTAGAGTTTTTGATTTTTGGTGAGGTAAGGAAGGGGGTCAGCAACATCGCCACCATGGACTTCCGGAGGGCAGACATTGACCTGTTCAGAACGCTGGTTGGGAGAGTCCCTTGGGAGATAGTTCTGAAGGGCAAAGGGGTCCAGGAAGGCTGGGTATTTTTCAAGGAAGAAGTCTTGAAGGCACAGGAGCAGGCTGTCCACATGTGCCCTAAGACAAATCGATGGGGAAGACGACCGGCCTGGCTGGACAGAGTTCTACTACTTCGACTCAGGAAAAAAAGGAGAGCTTACCAGCTCTGGAAGAAGGGGCAGGCAACCCAAGAAGAGTACAGGGATCTTGTCAGGTCATGCAGAGAGGAAATTAGAAAGGCAAAAGCCCAGCTGGAACTTAACCTGGCCACTGTTGTAAGGGATAATAAGAAAAGTTTTTATAAATA